GTTAGTGAAATAAAATTATAAGAGGAACCCATAAATAATTGGAGAGAAAAAAGATAGAGGTGGGATCCACCTTTGTTATGTGTGTGTAGGAATTTGATTTATCTGACGTTGAATGAGATAAATATAACTTATTTATTATATATATGCTCTCTTTTTTTCTTTATATAAATAATAATTATCCTTCACCGGAGTGTTCAAATCGGAATTTTTCAATTATGGTAAAGCTATCTTTACTAGAGGAGATTTTTTGCATTCACAACTTCAACCCAAAATCTTGCTTAAGCATAATCAAGTATATATCAGTTGAATTTCAGTTCTGTGCTCCATTGACAAAGCAAAATTCTGTAACATGAGCATTTAGCATTGACTTGACTTGAAAGTGTGTGTTTGTGTCGGTGGTATGTAATTCAGGAAGAAAAAAAAACTCAGTATAGGATGTCAGAACAACATCTTGTTTACTTTCTTATGCCAAGAAGTTGAAAAATGTGATTTGTATTTGATTGGCACTCCTAACTTGTCTAGCTAGCATTATTTTTTTATTCTTGTTAACAATTCAGTCATAATTAAAAGTTTGTTTTTCTGTTCATGAGCTTTGATTAAATAGGCTATCAAGTTCAAAAATCAAGATTTAGAATTTAGTACTTAATGATTTATGTCTAATTATTCATGCGATGAGCGATTGTACATTTGTACTCGTGTCTGAATCTGAATGTGCCTTTCAACGTGAGTTACATAACTAGTAAGTGGTATAAGGCACATGTTAATCTTCCTCATCAAATTTAAAGCATAGCTATAGCTAACTAGGATGGATTGTATAGATGCATTTTGGTTGTTTTACGTTTGAATTCTATCTGTAACACAGTATAAATATTTGTATGTTGCAGCAGGTAACAACTCTTTCCTGTATATTACTTCTCTTAAATTGGTTACTCTGGAGGTGTTTAAAATTGTAACGTCAATTCTGTTCTTGCTCTTCAGCCATACCCAGAAATATCAAATAAGTATAGATTTCAATTAACAATTAATCTATTTCCTGTTTGGGAACCAACATTGTAACTGCTTAGGGATAAGCTATCTCTATTATGTGTGTATCTCTCAGTAATTCTAGATCTAGTAGATATTATATTAGGGTCCGTCGCTTCTCATGTGACTGCTGATGAGAAAAGTTGCAGCAAATTTTTAACACTAGGATACACGTGCGGATTCTATCAAAACAAAAAAAAACAAAAAAAACCAGGATTCGGACGCGTATCCTGTGTTGCTGCAAGTTTTCCCTTCTGCAGTCACATAAGAAGTACTTTCCTCATTATATTATGCAAAAAAAAGAAACAAAGATGTCATGGGAGGGATAATACAAGAAAAAAAGGATATTATATATATATATTGTTGTGGCTGCATCCTGCAACAAGCTCACTATGTTTTGTTCCTAAAAGTTAATACAAGCTACTGATTAGAATATAACATCAATAAAAGTTTTCTTCGGGAAGATCAAAAGATCATCGTTTTCATTAATGCAAACTTAGGTTGCATGCACATGAAAATTTTCTCTTTCCATTCCTCTTTTGAATTACCACACTACTGCAAGAATATTAGCAAATTTGTTAGCTTATGTAGTACTACTTTCAATTTCTGCTATACTAAATATCCTTTTATGATTCTAGTATTACTTTTGATTCATTCAAAATTCCCAAATGACTGATTTTGTCAGGGAAATCCAAAATGTTTTGCGTGAAATGGTATGCTCCTAATACAAGTGAAAGCTTATGAGGATTAGCACAACCAAATTTGTAAATTGTACACTCTATTTCCCAAACTCGACTCCAGTAACCTTCCAATCACAAAAAAGTGAAAAACAACCTTATATTAGAATCTTATTGTTGCTACAAGGCTCGCCCTCTGTGCCAACCAAAAAAAAAAAAAAAGACTGGGGAGCGTATAGTTTGATCAACTTTCATATGACCTTCATTATCAACTACCTTGTCCTAGTTTGAAGATGCTGTTACAATTTTAAGTAGAAAAAGTGGAAAGAGGTATCTTGAAGGTGCTCCCTAACATGTGGTCTGAGTCAGATATTATTTCTTTCTAGTATAGAAAATATAAAGATGAGATCTGAGGATGAAAAATAGCTATCCTTCTCCCTCTGCTTTCATTTTAATATTTATCTGAGCTTTTCTTGCTACCTACAGAAGAAAGCTTAAGGCTGCCAAATAAGATGTTTCTGCTTATATGCTTCAAAACTTTAGGTCTTCTACCTAATTTATAAGCCAAAAACAGTTTGAAGATGATAGAAATATAAATCCACTTTTGAGATCAAAGACAGATATGCGCTTTATCCTGAAGAAACAGGTGGTTCAAAAGAGCAAATTGCCCTTGAAGCTCAATTGGCACTCACCTATATGCTTGCTCCTACGTACTATATTTAAACAAAAGAAAAAAAGAGAGAGCAAAGTATCAGCCACCTTTAATTTGTTTTATTATTATACATATGAGAAAAAAACAGCACTTTGGAAAAGAGCTGCTCCTAAGAATCATGTGAGTTTAAGAAATAGAATAAGGGCAGGTGCGAAAAACTTCCATCAATTAATCCTTTGCTGGAAAGCAATTACTTGTATTGTATTGGCACAATATAATTGGTTCCAACTTTATGGCTAATATCGCTTGCTAAGAGAAATGTCATAGGACTATAGGTCACCAGTGTCCAATTATTAGGTTAATGAATCCAACAGCGCTTATGACAACCAGAAAAGGAAGGTGTCATGGTTGTAAAATGCTTTTTCTTTACTCTTGGCTTTTGAAGTTCCAATTTTTCAGCACCCCTTTTACAAATTTAGAATGATGATTACACACTTCTAAGTTCTAATGGGGGAGACGGAGAAGGCCTTTTCTTTTCTTTTGTCTTCTTTTTATGTGGTGCAGTTTCAATAGCAGATCGGTTTGCTTTTCAGGAAAATGTTAATAGATAGCATGCAAAGATTCTTTTCTCAAGAAATGGAAATTTGGAATAAAACTACATCAGAGTATCATTTTTTTATTTTTTCTCACTCCCCTCTCTTTGCATTATGTGCTTGGATGTAATGTACTTAAAGTTGAAAACTCAAAAGTCAGCTACAACAAGAAGAATACCCTCACTCATTTGTGCATTCTTGATCGTCCAAACTTTGGAATCATATGATTTTTTAGGTTGGCCTACATGGGCATTTACCTTTTGTGTTGCTCTATTAATTTCCCAGCAATGCTCAAGTTAGTCCTAGAACAATTATGCTCATGCTTCTTCAGCTGATACATACATACATACATACATAAAAATATTACAATATACACCAACCTCAATTTGCACTTTGTCACGTTCTGTACAAATTTCCCCCTTTTATTGAATTTCTTAACGGAAGGCCAGGCTATCTTGTTAATACAATTCACGAGATTTATACCTAGCAAGTAACTGAAAAGGATGATTCTCTCTGTGTGTGAACTGCGCATGATAAGGAAACTCTTTTTTTTTTTAATTGAATGACATGTAAATTGGAAGACAAACAGAACAAAAGGGTTTGCTTTGGAAGAAGGAATAAAAGGATAACGATTTATATTCGCAGCGTATAAATGGAATTTGGAAAAGAGATTTAAGAGGGTGAAGTTGCAATTTAAGGGAGCTGGCAAGAACTACTAGCGCACACACTCATACACACGTTTTAATATTCTATATTTGAGTCTATTATAGGTCTAAAATTTTGTCCATTAAACTGGTTTACACATTCAAAAGTTGTGCTTTACTTATATCCCAGAGAAAAATTATCATATGTTCTGAGATAAATAAAATAAAGTTCATCAGTTAAAAAAAGGAAAAAAAGTTTCAGATGTTAACAACTTTATCCAATGTTCATCGGAACGACATCGTTTTGAGATTAAAAAATTAGAATGATAAAGACTATTATAATCCTGAAATAAATTAAAATTACAAAAACACCATGATTTCGGTCCCAAAACGACGTCGTTTTGATGAATATTAGATAAAATTATCTAAAATAACTTTAGAAAAAACAAACCCTTAAAAAAAACACATTTTTTATGTAAATGTAACAAGATAAATCTTATGCCACTATAATTTTCCTTAAGGGGGTGTTTGGTATGAAAAATTTGATAAGAATGTTGGAAAAGTAGGGTAGATAAAATATGTTAACCATGCTTGATATGTCTTGAAGTTACAAAATATCGGTATATTATTTTTCCATGCATTTCGTTTTGAACTAGGCAATGTAAAAAAAAAATGCCATTTGAATTGTTATATTTTTTTAATCCAACGAACGGAGAAACACCTTTTATGATTTGTGGATAAAAATGGCCTGGAGAGAGGAAGAGAGATTCAGCAAAATTTTCTAAAACAAATTTTCAAAACTAGAATGGGTGCTAAAACTTATGGGTACATTTGGTGAATGTGATTCAATATTTTAACATAACGGTTAATTTTGTAATTTCATTACATATTTTTATCGATATTTTATTATCAACCAAATATAATATTAGTAAAAATAATTCAATTTTTCTAACATATTTTTTACCTACCAAACAACTTTTTTTAATTTATATAGACAAAAAAAATTCTCATCATATTTGGAGAATTTTTTTTCTCCAATAATAAACAATTTCTCTCGTACCAGACATCTCAATAAAAGTCTAGCAAAACTAACATAACCAAGAAGATATAGTTGAAGTTGACCGTTAGACTAGAAGGATGGAAACTTTGAAAATGTGTGTCCTATTGCATATACTCAAACTTGAGCTTCAACTCCATACGTGCAAAACGCAGCACTTATTTTTTTCTTTTCTTTTCTTTTCATTTTCTCTCTCTAAATGCTCTTTGATTACTTAATATTCTCCTCTTCAGCAGATTCCCTCCTCGCCCACCCCACAACCCATCTTTCTGCCATTCCCTACTTTCTCTTCATTGCTTTCAAAGCCAAGAATCTCTTAGATTCCTCTCCTCATCTGATCTCCCTCTTTTTCAACCACTATTAACCATCTCCAATGGCCCTTGTTTTCCATCTCTCTCTGTCATTTTCATTCTTCCTGTTCCTCCCCTTTCCTTCCCTCAGAGTCTCTCTCCCCTCTCATAACATTAGCTCTTCATTGTTATGGCTCCTTCTTCAGATGTCAATCATCTTTCTCATCCATGTATATATGGTATTTTCTCTATCTTTCTCTTTCTCTTTCTCTTTCTCCTTCTGTATTGGTTGTCAAAATTAGAGCTTCATGTGCTTAGCTATTCAAAGCAATTCACTTTACAGGTTTTTACTTCAATCCGTACAAGAAAAGACTCATTTTGCAAAATTAAGAACGACCCCATGAAGCTATTAATCGAACTTAACAGTTTTTTCTATTGATTTCACTAAATTAGTATTCTCTAAGTTTCGCAATTTACTTTGCATATGGTTCCAAAAAATTATCTAGACCATGCTATTTTCTTGTTTGACAATTGAACTTCGGCTTGAATTATTATGATCCAGTGTTTCTAATTTCACTTCTTGAATCATGAAAATTTTGATGGCAAACAGGGGATTTTATTTCTTCACACTCAGAGAGAAAGTCTGGTTTCATGAAATGGCTTAGTAGGCTTTTCAAAGGTGGGTCCAATAGAACAAGGGGTGGTCGTCATATGCATGAACCAGCTGAGGAAAACATGGTTCGGCGCGCTCCATCTAGAGCGTTGGTAAAAAGCAGCACTGGCTTTTAGTTTTCTTCAATGATATCCATTGTTGTTGGCCTTGTTATGAATATCATTATTCCTTTGCTTAAAGTAAAAAATGCAAGTAGTTAGTCAATGCAGAATAATTCTTCTTGGTCGAATCCATGTTGATCCTTTGTGTCATCAACCATAACTTAGTCATAAGCATTAGAAAGTTTACTACTTCTGTCTTCTTTGGCTGATTAAATGGCCACTTGATCTCATCAAGGTGAAGGGAGGCTCAGTATTTGAACTACATCTCAAAGCACTTTTTGAATTTTAAATATATAGTTTTCCCTTCTAAAGATTTGGTTCCACAATGGTAACTTAACTTCATATGTTGCATTCCCTTGAATAATGCTCCTGATGTAATTAGGATGATCGTGCTAGAGCTCAGAAGGAGAAAGAGGATCTTGGCCATGCAATGGCACTTTCTTCAGCCGAAGATTTAAAGAGACCAAATGGTAGGTACTCAATTTTCAAAAGGTTCTTGTTCTCTAGCTGTCGTGAACTTTCTAATCAAAGATTGGACTTTTACTTCCATTAGACCATCAAGGGTATGGTTGGGGGGCAGACATTGATGAAGATTATGCACCATATGCTCCTGTGCCATATTATCCCAACGAATATAGGTAAATTCTTTGCTCTCATAAATCTTATATCTGATATACAGATGCCAAACATCAAGTGTTTCCAATCTGGTCAAAAACAAGGTTGTTGACATTTGTTATATTAGCTAGTGCTAATGGAAATCACTTTTATTTTTCTCTCTCTTTTCCCTCTTGCTCAAGCATTTTGGTACTAATTATAAATGATAATGTGTATTTTTCCATTGAACAGAAAAATATGTGGCAGCTGCAACCAGGAGATAATCTACGGAAATTGTTTGAGCTGCATGAATACTTATTTTCATCCAGAGTGCTTTCGCTGTCACTCTTGTCGTTACCCCATTTCTGAGCGTGAGGTAGTTTGATCCTCTTTTGATGTTTAGGGGATGTTGAGATATCACTTTCCTGTCTACGCACCTTTACACTTAAAACATTTTCCTTTACACTCTTAAAGATATGCATATAGTGTTATTGCATTATTGATTTTGACACTTATCTTTTATCCATAACTCACTGCCTTTTTTTTCTGTTGATCCAAGTTTTCTTTGTCAGGGACGCATCCATATCACAAGTCCTGTTTTAAAGAGTTAACCCACCCAAAATGTGAAGTTTGCTACCAATTCGTAAGATTAGTGTGCATTTGCCTATTCAACTTGTTCTGCTTTATTATTATTTTTCTCTGATTAAGGTTATCAAATTTCAGTGTGTTATCTACTAGTTAGAGGAACCAAACATTATTCTAGTCTTCTAATAAAACAGTACATTTGAAATAAATTATAAGAGCTTCCCTCCCACTTATAAATTTATTTATCAGATCATCTCCTGTCTATAAATTGGCCTATGATCCTCACGGTTGATGAGAAGCTATATTAATTGCTACCAATTTTTATTTTACTTTCAGATTCCTGTAAATGCTGCTGGTTTGATTGAGTATAGGTGCCACCCCTTTTGGTCCCAAAAGTACTGTCCATCTCATGAATATGATAATACAGCTCGCTGTTGTAGTTGTGAAAGATTGGAGGTACTAATTTTAATTGTTACTCCAGATTGTTTAATAACTCAAAACAGGTAAAAAAAAATACCTTCTTTTTTCCCCTTCTAAATCTTGTTTTTTGTCACTGTTATATTCATTCTCCTTGAAGCCTCGGAATATAAAATACTATAGACTGGAAGATGGACGGAGTTTGTGCTTAGAATGCATGGAATCTGCTATAATGGATACTGGTGATTGTCAGCCTCTTTACCATTCTATCAGAGATTACTATGAAGGAATGCAAATGAGAATAGATCAACAAGTTCCAATGCTTCTGGTTGAGAGAGAAGCACTTAATGAAGCTATTGTCGGGGAGAAGAATGTAAAGAAAATTCCATTCTTTGTTTTAGTCAAATAATTAGTCCAATTCCTCTTACACACTAAGGTTTCTTCCAGGGTATTCATCACTTACCAGAAACAAGAGGATTATGCCTTTCAGAAGAGCAGACAGTCACCAGTGTATGATATTAAAAAATATTTTCTTTTTGTTTTCTTTGATTAGAATGTGAAAGTCATCATGAACCTAGTTACAAATTGTTTGTCCGATAATTCCACTACATTCTGATTTTATGTTGTTTCAGATACAAAAAAGTTCAAGAATTGGAGGCCATCGACTAATAGGGATGAGAACTCAACCTCAAAAGCTGACTAGAAAATGTGAAGTTACAGCAATTCTTGTTCTGTATGGTCTTCCGAGGTAATTAATGGGCAGTGGAAACTTTGCTTTTTGTCCCCCTCCAACTACAGCTGATTCCCTTTTGAATACAATTACGGGTTCAGATGATTTTCCAAAGCTCATAAGAATCAGAACCAACTATGTTACTTTCTTCCTATTGATTATGTTCAGACTTCATTATAGTTGTCATATTTTTGCGGGATGCAGGTTACTCACAGGTGCTATACTTGCCCATGAATTGATGCATGCCTGGTTACGCCTTAAAGGTAGCACATTTTGATCCATATCTTGGTATTAAACTTAACGGTATACATGATTTTCATCTCATTCATCTTGGACTAAGCAGGTTACCGCAACCTTAATCCTGAAGTAGAGGAAGGCATTTGCCAGGTTCTTTCATATATGTGGCTTGAGTCAGAGGTAATGCCAAGCTTTCAGAGCATGGCATCAACATCTACAGCTTCTTCTTCCTCCACCTCCTCCTCCAAGAAAGGTGTAAGGTCTCAAGCTGAAAATAAATTGGGTGAATTTTTCAAGAATCAGATTGCCCATGATTCTTCTCCAGCTTATGGCGGTGGCTTTAGAGCTGCTAATGAAGCTGTTAACAAATATGGTTTGCGTCGTACCCTTGACCACATTCGTTTGACTGGTTTTTTCCCCGAGTGATAAGAGTTCTTTAAGTACGGATTGCAATGCTAGGTTTTTTTTATTTTTTGTTTCTCCAAGTGGATATCGATTCAAACTCAAGACAGAAGCTCTCGGACAGCTTCTCCTGCTATTTGGGTCCTGTAAGGATGTCCAGGTCCAACTTGACTAAAAATATGCATGCCTAGCTCGTATTGAACAAGTGTTATTTCCTTATGCATTTAGCGATTCATTTCATCAATGAAGTTGACAATTCTGAGCAACATTACTTTTATAAATATTATAAAGAAAAGCATCGCTCTGTCACCTGTAGAGTTTTCAATTTCATAGTGAATGAATTTCATCAACAATTGCAATAGAAAAGTGCATTGTCATGTCAACATAACTATTTAAAGAAAAGTATTCCCTGAAAAATGACAATATTTTTAATAACACTCAGAATTATGACCCTATAACAAGTCCCGGGTCATTAATAATGAATTCATAGTTTGTTAATTGTACAATGTAAAACAATGGACTCAAAAGTGAAAAAAATAAAAAATAAATAAAGGGATCCAAGGTATTTTATCTAACTATCATCACTATAGGAAGAATAACTCCTCCTGAGAAACGCAAGTGCCGCATAACACTACAACATGATACTTTATAGAAGAATAGATCGATTCTCAAAAGATTAACCCCTCCTGAGAAACACAAAAGTGCTGCACAACACTATAACATGATACCTTGAACTTCACTTGCTGATAATCACACATGCCATAAGGAAGATGCACTTGTGAAGAGCTGTCTCCTTAAGGCATTCAGCTGCAGATTTATAGTTTATTTCTGAGAGAGGGAGGGAGGGAGGGAAAAATATAAAGCAGACCACATGAGAATAATAGATTGATAACAGCCTAATTTTATATGTTGTGTAATTTATACAAGGAAAAATTCTATCCCCACAGCATCATTACAAAATTGCCCACCAAGAGAACCCATTAAATAAAATGAACTTCATGTAAATGTAATTGTAACCCTTTTGCATGGGTAAATAGCTTCATCCATTTACTCCAAAGTGTAATTATGCAGCAGCAATATCCGCTAAAAGCATCTTCAGTGTCTCATAAGTCATAAAGCAAATACCTACACCCGGCACCACCTTGTAATATTCAGGCAAAATTCCTCTGTAGAGGCCACGCACACCTTCAGTCTGGATTATGTGCCTAAACATACCAAAGATGCCTGTTGTATACACCCGGGCTCTCCCTCCAGCCCCCTCAAGTTGCCTCCGCCGTCTCACAAGATCCAATGGAAATGTTGCTGCATATAGGATAACGGATGAATTGAACCATAGCCTTTTGAGTAAAAAAGATCTCACTTTTACATGGGATTCTATTATAATACATCAGATCGTTAGTCTTTTTTATGTGACATGTATCATCAAATCTGGTAAAAAGTGATAAATCGACTGAAATGAAACCAATTCTAAAACCGTAATTGCCATCTAAATTAACTATATTTGAAATAAATAAGCCATGCAGACAAAACTAGAGTTTCTTATTGTAATGATCCTGTGTCTCTGACCAAGTTGCAAGCCTGCACTGCAACATTGTAGGCTATACCAAAGAATAACTACAGTAAACACATTAATGAAACCATGGAACACTCCTGAACTTGTGGTCAGTTGGCAACGAGAAATTCATGGATGAGCAAGTCTATCTTGTCATGGCAGAATTTAAGAAATCCAGAACACGAAATAGTAAAGCTTGTGAAATTGCAATAAAAAGGAAAGAGTATAAGTAAAACACAGCCTTACCCGAACATACAGTTCCTGTAGCAGAGTGGCAGAAAACCTTTATGTCACAATTGATGAGCGGACACTACTAGAGTTTTGTATGCATAAGTACTTTGGATACATGTATTTAGTGTCTACATAGTACAGTCTTGACCCAACAAATATCCATGCCCCAATCTATCAAGATTTGGTTTTCTCCCTTGAAAAGAATTGTAATTCTATCCTTTGTTGACAATTTCATTTATCCATTTACATTAATCATCAGCAACTATATTATAATTTGTTACCACAATTTCCATCGTTTAGGATTATGTTGAAAGCAGTATTATTAAAGCAATAAGAACAGATTCCTCGGAAAAACATCAACAGGGCTTGAAGGATTCTGGTAAGCATCAGGTGAAGGAAGCCTGTGAGAAGCATACCTCAAAGAGGACACCTCTCACATTTGGTAACTGAGGGAATGATATAGTTTCATCCAAGTAATGCCACCCCATGATGGAATCCACTGCATAGCTTGGGGAGACATGTCATAGAATAAAACTTGGGAAGATGATTACTTGCACAAGATCTTTAGACAATAATGAAGTTAAAGAGAGACAGGAAAAGGGTATTTTTGTTGTGTTCCTTACTAAACTTCTCATATGCCAGATAAAATAACAACTCCAACCTGGTCTCTGGTTCTAGGGGTCAGTCTGGTTATATACTCGGTGCAGGAACTGCACCAAACCCTCATTCTCTGCATCAAAAGCATAGTAAAGCACTACAGACATTAACTTCTTTAATATTCTTGGGTTTGAGCAAATTCAATACTTTGACTAGAGGATTCTTAACTGTAACTGAACATCTAATAAACATTTGATACACACTAAATTGAGTGCTCTGCTGCCACACATAGAGATTAGGAAAAAGGTAAAATACCAAAAGAATGTGCATAACCTAATTGCAAGAAACATCAAAAAGCAAATTATCAAGAATTCTTATCTGACAAGGAAAATCAGAAGTTCAAGTTATCAAGAAAATTTATGTGAGAAGGAACATAAAAAGTGCAAGTTATAAACTCTCCTTTTGATCACTCACCAGATGATGATGCAATGCCAGAAAGACTGCCGCAGGCCAGACTAACAACAACAGCTGAATCATCGGATCTGATGGGTATAGATAATCAATATACATATAATGCTAGCTATGATATACATGAAATAAGGGGAAATTATATTTTACATTAGACTGCTAAATTAATTAGTGAACTGATTACCTATTTGACTGCCAAAACGATCTCAAGGTTTCATACACAGAGAAACTGATAGCTATATTTGGCCCAACAGTCTGCATTAGCACCAGAGATGCAGCTAATTACACAAGAAAGGAATCATACACTTCAAGTGATGTAAAATTGATGATAACAGCGTACCAAGAGTGTAGTTCCAAGTCCCTTATAAAGGCCAAATATTCCCTCTTCCTTGCAAATTGTTTGCAAAGCATGCCCGATACCTCTATAATAGGTAAAATTTGTCTGCAAAATTTTAACATCGCTAATTGTTAACAAGTAGAATACAAATACAAGGATATTTAACCACCATCTGTGCATGAACAGTTATTCAAAATTAAAGCAAACATCTTTGCATATGATGTTACCTGAGCAGCAAGTCGTGTCCTTACAAGATCCAAGGGATATGTAGATGTTGCAGCAGTCATCCCTGCCAGGCCACCACCAACAAAATTTATGCAGACATTATCCCAACCACTTTGAACTCCTGGAACCATCCTTAGTAACTGCACATATAAAATAATATTAAATATAAATCAATCTAAGAGTTCTCTGCAAGATAGCAAGTATGTGTATGAAAGAAGCAACGACCTTCTTGTAGTGCTCATATGAATAAAAGTTAACAGAAGAATAGGGTAGACGGTGAGCAATGGTAACCAGATTCCCTTTCCAGAAAGCTCTAAATCCCTCTTCATGGATAATTCGTGAAGCCTCATTCCATATGCTAGCTTTTCTCAAAGTTGCAACATTGGAATGCATCCCCTGAACCTGAAAACAATTTCATAATTTCACAAAACTAAGGTTTAATTTATAATAATTTTCACAAGACATTTTCTTTAGAAAAAAATAAAAAAATAAAAAAATAAAATTGGAACCTGAAAGAGGATGGTGAGTCTTGCAAGCGGCGCCGTACAGGTCTTGCTAAAAGCGCCGGCAACGCCTCCGGCGAGAAGATGTGAAACAGTCCCAATCTGCTGTGGTGGCTGCTGCACCAACTTCCGTACACCACCAACCCTAGCCTCCGTTTGCATCTCCAATTTCAGATTTTTTTTTACCCCTTTCACCACTTTCTCTAAGCAAATTGAATCCTTTTACTAACAGCACAAGAAGGAATCCCCCATGTTTTTTTTCTCTTTCAAACAAGGAATCGCTTTTTCACTTTTCTCAGGTACACAAGAGCTCTATGGTCCGCGACGTCGTTTTCATTCGGATGGAACAAAACGTTGACGTATTAGGCAGGGTTGGTTCACGAGGAAAGTTAAAACAGCGCGGCTTTTATGTGGTGCGGTGGGTTGCAGTGTATTTCCGTGTTCCTCTTCGATGAGATTTAAGAAGTACGATGAGATTAGATTAGAAAGAGAGAGTTACTGTGGAATCGGGTGCAGGGGATGGGTTCCTCGGGCGAATATGAGGTTCTCATGTGGGGAATATGCGTTGCTTGCAAATTGAGTTGTGCGTAGATATCAAGTTTAGGGCAACGTCGTCGGTTAAACCAAGTTTCCTATCAAATGGAGAAACGTGCCACGGGATTTATTATAGTAAAACATTCCTTAGTCTTTTTTTCTTTTTTGAAAAAAAAAAAAGGACCACCGACCTACTTTGCTTCCTTGCCCATGCTTTCCTTCGAATTTTGCACTTGAAATCTGATAGAATGAAAAACCAAAAAAGTGTTAAAAGTTTATATGTTGAAGCTGAAAATAAAATTCTAAAAAAGAAAGACAAAAATATATCACAAAGAATATGTTTTTTCAATCAAAAGGATAGAAAAGTTTAAGCTATGGGATACGATCGGTATTTTGTTGACAAGAGTAACAAAGGATAAGAGTATTGATATATCTTATTCCGTGTTTAATATATATAAGATAAGATTTTATTTTATTATTTTATCCAGTATTAGAATAGATTTTGTGCATAGTATATGATAAAACCTGATAATATAAGATCTAATCGAATTTTAATAATATCTAACGTTTGACATGATATTGTATAAGATAATATTATCTAGTATATGATAATACTATATAGGATACAAAAATATTCTTAATAAGAATATCTTTTAATAAAGAATATATATAATTCTTCAAAAAATGTCATATGATATTAATTTTTATAAAAATAAAAATATCCAATATTTTAAAATTTAATATATTAAAAAATTAATTTTTATTTTAATATATTAATATTAAAACAATATATTAATTTTTGAGAATTACACTGGTCAATGATATTAATACACTAACCCCTTATCAGGCTTAATCCCTTTCCCTTTGTCCGGATTAAGTTACACATCGTTTTGATGTATTAAGGGGTTCTGCTGTATAAGCTTATATTATACGATGGTCACACCAAACAACTGAAAATATCATGACGTATAGTATAAGCTTATATTATCATGCCTTATACGTCATACCAAACAGGCTCTTAGTTAGACCCTAGATATTTCCATAAGTTTTAACAGTTTAATTTGACTATGAAACTAATCTCGAGTTAGGATGTAATTAAAGCTCATTATCCCTTCTTAAAGATATATTTGATAGAAATCAAATCTAAATTCTCTTCATAGTTCATACTCTACTCTGCTTGTGTTGTTAATTACATGATCTAAATAAGGTGAAATCCAACAATAACTCAATCGTATATAATAAAAGGACAAGTAGCTAGAGGGTGAAGCGTATAGGCATTAAATGTAATACAAATAAGATTTCAAATGTATGTACATAACGTGTGATCGTATATATTTTTAGAGAAAATATATTTATAAAGAAAATTAGAGTGTTAGACCACCAAACACGTGTATGGTAAGAGGTTATTTCAGTTTAATTGGAATTTGAATTTTTAAAAGATAGTTGTGTTAAAATTTGACAGGAAGAATTTTGTCACCTATATAATTTTACCTAATTTAAATCGAATTAATCGAATATTTTATGAACAATAGATAATATTAAAAAAAATAGTGTTTAATTTGAAATTATTTACTCCATTCCACGCATCCTTACCGATTACCCGTTTTCAACGAGGTAGGACCCAATTTCCGGATCAATATTTGCGCAAGACCCGGGTCCGGAACATTGATAACATCTCTCTTTATCGGCACTTCTTTTTTTTTGGTAAACTTTATCGGCACATTTAATTGTAAGTTATGATTAAATATTCCATGATGAAATATCCTTTGTCATATTCTTAATTTATACCCCCTTGACTTTGTGGGCTCGTGATGACATGATTTATCCTTTGTCATATTCTTTCGTTGTCTTTGCAACCATTGTTGTTTGGTTTACTGCCACGCTACTTTTGCTGACTGCTTTACCCTGAAGGACGATTTCCGGTTAATTTCAAATTGAAAGGAAGTTAAAAAAGAAGAAGGGATATATACTTCTTCTTTTACACGAGAATTGTCTCACTTCCAACATACACTCTTTGTGGAACTATTAGGAGAGTCACACATATCAATGGCTCAGCAGGAAAAATGTCTTCTTATACTGCCGGAGAAGTGTGTATCCCAAAAAAAATAAAAATAGTAATATAAATGCTATGAGTTAAAATTATTGTTATAAAAAATTAGTGTAAAAATTTATATTTTTACTTACGTGTTAAAATACAAATAAAAACTTTCGTAAGTAAAAACCGATAAAAAAGATCATGTAAAAATGATAAAAACATAAATTTCTTCACTTTTACTTAAACAAAAAACTAAATCGGTCTTATACCAAAAATAAAAATAAAAATAAAAAATTGAATCATATCAACTTTTAACCTATGACTCAATTTTTTCTTTTTTTCTTTTTTTTAAAAAAAAAACCTATTGCCATTCCCCTAAATCAAAATGCACAATAAAAAAAGAAAAGCAAAAACTCTCGGGAAGTGGCTATTACAGAAAAAGAAGAGAATGAAGTCAAAGATGAAAAGTTTGAGTATCAAACTGAGATAGATTTTGAACCAATCTATTACATTTTATTGTAAATGAACTTGTTACAGGACAATAAGGACATACAACTCATGCAAGATGATGTGTTTGATTTGAATCAATTGATATAATTTAGGAGTTATTAAACTTTACTTTTTTTTGGACAACAAAACTTTTTATTTATAAGTTAAAAAAAAACTTTATTTTTTTGAAATTTTGGAACTTGCTTGTAGGAGTTGTTAAATTCTTTTTGTGCTTTTGAACTTATGTCTTATATAGTTATATGACTTAAATATTTTAATACTTATTTGTTCATTAAATTTTGAGTAATGACTTATATGATATTTTTTATATGCATATATATAATTTTGTATCTGGACCTTAAATAATAAAAATTTTACATTTTGTGTCGTTTCTATGATTTACATTTCTAGATCCTTCTCGTTTCTACGTAGAAACTCGATTTTGACAATATTGGTTAAAACTAAATAGCACACAAATTGTTATAAAAAAAAAAAAAAAAAATAGCACACAAATTTATACTAAATTTGATGATCTTATATCAATTTAGAAATGTAATAATTACACAAAAATCATCCAGCTGACATTACTATCTGTATAAAGAGGAAAATACTAGTTGGCGTTGAAATTTATGCACATAATTGATTAATTCCCAAAGAGCTATAGACAAATTTGACAACGAGAGAAAACGAAAGGAATAACAATGATTGATTCAGTAATGCAACCCATATACGTCACTCGATAACGGATCTTGAAAATATTTATGAAGAGTTAGAAACGAACAAACTTTCATAACGGTTTAAATATGTATGATGCATTGAAATAAAAGTACGTAAAAGTTAAAATAACATATTTGAATCATTTGATGGCCAAAAAATAAGTTGAAATGGTAAAAATAATTAATTATTAGTTATAAAACTGAAATAAACATCAATTTTACTGCACATTACATATATGAATTCAAAAAAATAAAAATAAAATGCCCCGTTAGATTCTTCCATGAGGTCACTCCCCATCTGTATGATTTTTGTCATCTTATTACTATTAAACTTACCTCATTTACACACACATAAACTCTAAATTTACCACCCAAACATATATGTAATGACCATGGGTGAGAGCGAGAGCGGTAAGTTGTTAGTTATGGCACAGAGTTTTGAAGTATTGGATATGTTTTTGCCGATCAATATTTGTTTTTTTAGTCCTTTTAAATTTTGAATTTGGGTTGTTTATGTCTTTTGCTTTTTTTTTTTCCTTTTAAAATATTGAATTAAATATGTTTTACAATTAATTCAAAAAAAAATGAGAGTTAGATTATTTTTATCGGTGTAAATTACACTTTTAATCGTGATATTTTTTATATCTAATAGCTCTATTGGATAACATCTGTTATATATGGTTGATTTTGTTGCTATGGGCGGGGAACATGCTTTTGTTTACTCTAGTTAGAGTTTGTTTGGATGAACTTTTTTCAGTCAAAAGTTATTTATTTTTAAAAAAAACACTTATATTATAAAGTGCATTTAGATGTCTGCTTTTTTAAAAAAATAAGTCATAAAAAAAGTTAAAAATTTACTTATTTTAGAAGCTAAAAATTTTAGTTTCTTAAAAAAGCAAAAGTCAAAAGCCAATTTATTTTTTAAAAAATAAATATTTTTTCAAAAATCTAAATAATTTTAATTTTTGTAAAAAATACTTTTAAAATAAGCCGGGCATAAAATTAACTTTTTTTTAGAAGGCCATCCAAACACAGTCTTAGTCTTGTGTAGTTTGTCATTTAGTTTCTTTTGTTACGAGTCATTAGCCCTATCTCTATGGAAAATAAAGAATTAATTAAATGTAAAAATTCAAATCGTTGGGTGAAAACACATTAATTATTTTATATTATTTCTTAATATATTTCCACATGTCAAGAGATTGTAGAATTAAAACTTGTATAGTTTACAAGCCCAAATTTAAAAGATTTGAAACATGGAAACATCAAGCTCTAGATCCTAAGATAGTAAAATAAATAATTAATTTAACCCAAAATTTCATATTGTTGGGTAAAAATATGTATTATTTTATGTTATATTATCCTTTAACAATATATAAGAAATGTGAAAATATGTGCGTTGTGTAATCGGCATTTTTTTTATTGATTTTATGTCAGGTTCTATCTATAAGTAACAGTTTAAAGAATCGCTTTTGTGATTCTTGACCTCATCAAACATCTATGGAAGGGTCCGTCAGTAATGGACAATGTGAAACACGCCGAGAATTTTGAATTTACACCATCCGTGGACAATTCATGATGATTTGGTGAAACTAACGCTAAATAACAAAAGACAGTTCCCAAACCGTGGCGGTGATTTAGTGCTAAAGATAATCAATTACTTCCACGTGCTCTAATTCCCCTAACTCCCATGTCTAGTGGGAATTGGTTGAACAAGAACTAATATGATGCAACCCCGGAACCCCACCTTGAGGTTTTGTTTTTTTGTTTTTTTTTTGTGAGTAATGAGTTTCTTCATATCTTGAGCCTTTGTTTATGATATTTTCATCTTATTGGTTGGGGCAGGATTTTCATATGGGCTTGTGTAATGGAGCAAATGGGCCAGCAACATGCATGCTTACATTATGGTTCACTTCTAATGGTTGAGCCTGCTGTTCCCCAAGCATGTGCATCTCTTCCACCATGGGCTTCCAGATTCTAACTCTTGCATTGATGAACCAATTTGAAACCTGACAAAACACCACTTACCATATTGTTAGTCCTTAAGTTGCCATACCCTTATAAATTAATTTGATGGGGGGAAAAGACTAACCTCAATTGCTTTGAGGGTCATGCTTATTAGGGAGTTAGCACTTAGCAGAGAGAATAAGGAAAATACAGAGAGGAATTAAGTTCACCTGACATCTTGAAAGACCAGTTTGTTGAGCCAATATATCCTTTTCAGAATCCGTAGGATAACTGGGATGAACAAGTTAAAATAGAAGTTATATAATGAAACATTGACACAAAAATATGCTATGGATCAAACTTGAAAATAGCATCACTAACGGGTGTAAGAAGTGTTCAAAGAGCCATCTCTTCAGCAAAGCTACAGCATGATCTGGAAGCCCTCTTTGGGATCTCAAAATAGGTTGGACAGGGTGTGGAATACTTAGAAATGTGGAATACTTAAAAATTTCCTTTTCACCAGAATTGTTAGCTGCAGGAGTAGTTTTGCTTGTAAACTGAAGTTGATCATAAATAGCATGCTTCAAACATCCAAAATGCTTAGAAATGGTTTTCATACCAAATGATATATAAGGAGTGGCATTTCCAAGCCCAGCAACTTTTTGAAATGATTCCACCACTGATTGCATATGCTGGCTGTACAGGGCATACTTCTTGTATACCTGAACAAATTTATTAAAAGAACTGAATTTTTGTTAGAAATGGAAAATATAACAAATGAGTGTGTCATTATCCAACAGACATACAAGCGGAAAAGAAAATGAGAATTTTGCAGAAGGATATCAAATTCTATGTTTATTACTAAATAAGGTGCAAGTGCAATCAATGATTTGGTCAGGGTAAGCTACTATGCTTACATCTCCGTTTCTGGTCGAATTTTTTCATGCTTCAATAGTAAGATCCTTAATTCAAGTAATATCAAGTCCCTTTGGAAAACATATTATCCGAGGTATACTTTCAACCAACAATCAAATTGAGTTTTGGTTATCTTATTGTCAGTGTTATAAAAGCTAATTCGATGGAATTGTTAGTATGGGCTAAACCACCAACAAGACTATAGATTGTACGAAAACATAAACTAAAAATATCTTTTTTACAATCAACATGTAAGAGTTGGTAGGAACAAAAAAAAGGGAACTCAAGTCAAGGGCATACCTCCTCTAGCATGCATGCGAGTTTTGAGTCCCTCCACTGATGCTGGATTGCATCCCCACTAATGCCAGTGATGGGGTCTTCATCATTGTCATTTTCGCTTAAGCTATCCATTGGAGGAGGATCCCAAACACTACCACACAAGTCTTCAAGAAGCTGTTGAGCAGGCTTCAAAAATCTTGACCGTTTTAAAATGGAAGCATAGCCGGTAAAGGGACCTATCGGAACCCAGTTTCTCAAATCACTGCATGGTCCTTGGGACTCATGAATCACCATATGGTTTTGAAGACTCTGAAAACTTGTAGGATATTCGAGATGTGAAGCAGAACATGAACTTTTTGGTAGTAAGTTTAAGAACGGGGGAGTTGGGTGAGAAGGAAGGGATGGTAGAGTAGTGTTGTGGTAGTGTGTTGTGTGTGAATTGAAGTTGCTAGAGAGGGCGTTGGGGTTCAATGGTGAAGAAACTGGATTTGATTCAAAGGGTGGAGCTGAGGTGGGCTGAAATGATGAAGAGAATGGCTGTGGTTGGTGGGTTTGGACCATTACTCGGAGCTTGTTCCTTCTGCTCTGTTGCGGGACATGACAGGACTCAAAAATTTCCTCCATGAATGAAGTTTTGCTTAGCTTTTTCACACACAGAGAGAGAGAGAGAGAGAGAGACTTTTGCAAGGGAATCTGATAAAGAGGAGGCAGCGATGAATGATGAAGGACTTGAAACAGTACCCAACTTTGGCCGAGCACAGTGGTGTCACTGTGTGTCCACAGTTTTAGAAGGTGAAACAGTTTACAAATGAAGGGACTATATATTATTTTGGAGTTTCAAATGAGTTCTATGATTAATGTGGGCTGGTCAATTGGTGCAACTTGAGCTTTCAGTCAAAGACAAGTCAATAAGATCAAATTATCGTCAAAAAGAAAAGTTACTACACAGCCTTTCAAAAGCAATTTCTGAACTTGTTATTTCTTGCTAAGGTTAAGTATTTGAATAGAATATCTTTTCTATGTAATATGAGAAATATTTTTGTCTGTACTTTTCTCTCAATAGTTAAGCATACTCAACAACAGTAATTTGAGACATTCAAACTTAAGCAAACAGTCATAAATTTGGAGAACAATATGTCCAATTTATATATTCCAACATTTCAAATGGTTCAGCTGAAAATATAGCAGTTAGGTCCTTGGTCCTGGATGTCGTCTCTTGCTATAGGCCGTTTTGTTGCTAGGATGAGTTTTTGAACTCATTAAGTGGCAAGATTTACATGCGTTTGTCCAACTAATAAATCGGAATAAACAATTTCAAGCATCTCTTTGTCAATAATAACAAAATCGTATTATATGAAACAAACGCGAAATTTTATTATGAATGAGACATACGCTAGAAAGAACAGGAGCAAATTAATCGATAAACTAGAGTTACAATATTTATGACTAAACTCTCCAACTGGACTACTAAGATCCTAACTTCGAATGCATGCATTACAGAAGCAGTTAATGCCAAAGCGAAGGACATAAATTGTTAATATTCATTTTCAATTGTGATTGCTGAAGACTAGAGATCTGCCACTCCCGTCTTACAGAAGAAATACAAATAAATAAAACTGGCAAAAGGTAGCAACTAGCAACTATACCTCATTGTGTTTTAAAATAAAAAAAACATTTCCTGAAAAAGCTTCTTGTTTTTTCCTCTTCTTTTTTCTACACAGTTACCCTGTTAGTTTGAGCAACAAGTTCTATTGCCCGTATTACCTGACATATTTGAGACATTAATGGTAGTTCCTTGAGGAAGGCCAGTAGAGGAAGTAGCCTCCTGTGCTGCAAGAGCCTTTTTACTTATAATGTGATATATATCAAACAAAATGGTTTGGAATGCCTTCTCAACATTATATGCCTCCAAAGCTGAAGTCTCTAGAAATGAAAGACCTTCCTTCTCAGCTAAACTTTGAGCATCTTCAGTAGAGACTGCTCTCAGATGATTCAGGTCAGATTTGTTTCCAGCCATCATAATAACAATGTTAGAATCTGCGTGATCCCTTAGTTCACGAAGCCACCTCTGCACATTATCAAATGTTTGCCTCTTGGTTATGTCATAGACCAATAAGGCACCAACGGCTCCTCTGTAGTAAGCACTAGTGATAGCTCGGTACCTCTCTTGCCCAGCAGTATCCCATATTTGTGCCTTTACAGTCTTCCCCTCCACCTGCATTAATCATGTATTTCCAACCAGTTAACTCTTCTTGCACGTCACAATAGAACATCAGATAATTTATAAAATTTAATATTTGAATTTGAACATATGATCAAAATAAACTAGTGCATTATGAAATGTCATAAGGGATATAATAAAATTGTTGAGACGTGTTACTCATCTAATGGCTTAAACTTTTGAGAAAGTTATTCAACGACACTTATGTTATGCCATATATAATGATTTTGCTGTATTTTTGTAGTATATTGCAATATATAAGAATTTCTCATATAATAGACTTTCAGACATTTATTGAAACTAAAAATCAATAATTTTTTTAATAACTCATATTTAAAACATTTTAGTAATAAAGGGATTTTTTTTTTTTTTTCAAAAGTTCTTTATAAAAATTATACGGGGTTCTCGAATATCATGTTGCAAGAAGAAATAATTGTTTCCTGCAGAGACAATTTTAAGTGGAATCCACAGATTAAAAAAGAAGAAGAGACAAGCACTATTATCAATGCGTTTGCAGGAAGATTTTTCTTCCTCATATTTAACTACACTTACATGTCCCCTATTATATATGGGTAATACATTGATCATGTAATAAGGAAAACAATTTTTTTTTTTTCCAAACACATAAATTAGGAGAGAGAAACAAATGTAATGTGAGAGGAACAAGTTTTAACGGATTCCACATCAATTTTTGTGTGTGCGGGCAAACTTTTTATTTTCCTATTACATAACTAATATATTACTCATTATATATAGGATTTACAGTGCAGATAAGATGAATTATCTGCAGTAAGTCCAATATGATGTTGTTTTGGGACAGAAATCATATTGTTTTTATAATTTTAATTTATCTCAAGGTTATAATAGTTTTTATATTTATAATTTTTTAAAATTTCAATATCAAAATAACGTCGTTTTGAAAATAAATGCAGATAACTTATCTGCATTAACTGCAGAAACATTTTTTCCTTATATATAAGGAAGAATATATTTGCCGTAAAGGCACGGAATTCCTATCTGCGACAGAAAGAAAAACCAAAAGAGAGAAAGTAGAAATCAATAAAAAAAATAAAAATAAGGATGGAGGCCCACTTGAAATTTTTCTCCGTGGCAGATAATTTTTAGAGTAAAGACCCTTTTTAGTCCCTGACAATATCTACGGAGTCCTTTTCAGTCCCTGACAATAAAAAAGGACCAAATTGGTCCCTGAAAGTACAAGAAAAGGGCCACTCTACATATTTGAGAATTGACATAAGGACTAACATGGCCCTTTTTTTGTAATTTCAGGGACCAATTTGGTTCTTTTTTATTGCCAGGGACTAAAAAGGACTTCGTAGATATTGACAGGGACTAAAAAGGGTGTTTACTCTAATTTTTATCTGCCAAAGGCAAAGATGTTATTCTCTTTTATATCTATAAATATATGACTTTAATGTTTTTACGGTGAATACAAGTTATCTACGTTCATTTCACTTCCAAAACAACGTCATTTTGGGTTGAAAGATTAAAAAATTATAATGAAAAAGACTGTTATAACCCTGAAATAAATTTAATTATAAAAATACCATATTTTTGTCCCAAACGACGTCGTTTTGGGCTCAATATAGATAATTTATCTACGTTGATCACATAAAAAGCGAATCCTAAATATATATATTTGGGAAAGGTTACACCAACTACTTTTTTTTATTACCAAATCTTAACCGTTGATTTTCGTCAATTTAACGGTTATAATTTATTGAAATTTAATAATTAATTAAAGTGTAACTCAATAAATTATAATCGTTAGATTGACGAAAATCTACAGTTAAGATTTAGTAGTAAAAAAAATAATAAATATAACCTCCCCTGTATATATATATGAGAAATTTCTTTCTCATGTTGCACGAGACAAATTGTTTCATGCAACAAAAACAATGAGTGGGACCCACTAAGTAGAAGAGAGAGAAAGGAAAAAAGTGAGTCCTACTCAATTTTTTGTTTGTTGCATGAGATAATTTATCTCATGCAACATGAGAAAAACATATCCCTATATATATATATTAAGGGTTCACTTTTTCTACAGTCAATGTAGATAACTTATCTACATTGAGCCCAAAACGACGTTGTTTTAAGTCAGAAATCAAAGTATTTTGTAATTATGATTTTTTAATTTTTCAACCCAAAACAACGTTGTTTTGGGAGCGAATGTAGATAACTTATCTATATTCACCTTAAAAACATTAAATCCATAAATAAAACTAATTCAAGTACTATACCTATGAAACCATCCCTGCTCTCAGCACATACCAATCTAACAATCTATATCTATTTGGGGATAACCCATCTAACCAATCTAGTTAAAACATAACAGATTCAGTTTATAATAATTATAATAAAATTTAAACCATCAACTGCATTATTCAAACATCACACAATTTTTTTTTTATTTGATGTAGGAATCATTGGTTCATTAAAATATTCCTGAATCAATTAGTGTTCAAACCAACAGAAAGGGTAATTAACAACAATCCCAAGAAAACACCGAAATTTAAGATCTTAAACTAGGCACATCAACTCCAATGTAGAGATTAACAGAAGCAAAGTTAGGATTTCACGAAATTGAACATGTATTTTACACATACAATATTTACATAAACCAACCTGCAATGTTCTGGTTGCGAATTCAACCCCAATGGTAGATTTCGACTCTAAACAGAACTCATTTCGTGTAAACCTTGAAAGAATATTAGATTTTCCAACACCCGAGTCTCCAATCAATACGACCTTGAAGAGATAGTCGTATTCATGGTCTACTTTATACGCCATGCTTTGCTTCCAATGATCGGATACCCAACAAACACACACCAGCACAATGATCCAACGAAAAAATCAAACACGCCAAGTGGGGTCACGATGAAAGATGGTTAGAGGGATTAAAGATTCAAACTTTTGCAGAGGAGTAGTGAAGGAACAAGGGACAGGGGAGGAGAGAGAGAGAGAAGAAAAGGCACATTACAAGGCCAACAATGAGTGAGCACAAACAGAATAAACGGACGAGAAGGCACTTTGAACGGTCTTTCATGTGGGAATCGAAAGCCCGCAAAACTCGGAATATGTTTTTTTTTTTTTAAATTATTATTCGTTTTAAAAATTGCATGATGGAACGACCACATTCAACGATCTTATTAGATAAAAAGATTATATGATTCATTCTGATATATGCTAGCGTAGGTGACATTATTTTGAATCATAATTAAATCATCAATATAATAATAAATAAGATGTATCACTTTTTTGTGTATTACCCCACATCTATCATTATTTAATTACAGTAACAAACTCTGTTCAGTTTGGCTGAATGCACATAGATAAATTTTGCAATTCGTTCGCTTGACTTATTTGTAATGTTTTATTACATGGGTTTGTTTTCCTCGTGTTGTAGAAAAACAGTATCTTTTTTCTACACACACAAACATAAAGAGAAGAGAGAAAAGATTGGTAAGAAAAAATAAAAGAAGTAGGACCCATGTACTTTTATGTGTCTATAAGAAAGTGGTACTATGATATTTGTCTATCCCTTTATTATATCACTGTGAAAATAAAAGTAATGGTCTTAAACTCTTGTATACCTATGATGCACCGTGCACGTACATGGACACGGACATGGGACACGATACGACACGTCGACACGTTAATTCTAAAATATGTCATACTTCGACACGTTGTGACACGTTTTGATATTAAATAAATTTTTTAATATATATAATATAATTTATATTTAATACATATAAGAGTCCATAATAAGTCATATAACCAATCAAATATTTAAATTTCATACCATAAATATAAATATAAATAATTTTTCGTACTTTGTTAATTTTTCATGTCAAATTTCATAACAAAAAAAATTAATTTATAAATTATTTCTTTTATATTTAGTTAACAAAATAAAATTAAGATTTAAAAAAAAAAAAAAAGTGTCCGAGAGCGTGTCCGAGCGTTGACCGAGTGTACGAAAAAGTTAATTGCGTGTTGAAAAAAATGTCGGAACGTGTCGAAGAGTTGAACGCGTGTCCCCAAATATTGACCGCATATCAAACGCGTGTCGGAGCGTGTCCGACACGCAAATTTTTCTTGAACGAGCGTGTCCGTGCTTTGAAGTTGAATACTATCAACATTTTTTTTCTCTTAGCTGTGATGATTGACATAGAAGATAGAACACTAATATTTATTATTATTATTATCATTATTTGTTATAAAGACAGAAACAAGGCTTTTATTAGCAGAGGTACAGATTCTGCTTTGAAGGTTGTTGCTTTTCTCTCCCTTCAAAGGAACAGGGTGGAGGCCAGTTCATGATAAAACTTGATTGATGATCAGTGATGAACTTCAATCTCCTTCTCTTCCTTTGGAATTCTGCTCCGGAATTTCTCTTCCGCTGCTGCCCTCTACCTTTGTCTCCGAGTTCGTCTTTATTTCGTCTTCTAAAAAATCCTCATTTGAAGGCTTCGTCGCGTCCATTTAAAGACTTAAAATTGGGCTTTAAGATTTGGACTAGCTCGCTGAAGCGAGTTGCTCAGCAAGAAATTTATTTTTTCTCGTTGTTGTGCTCGTTGTTGCGAGCTTAAGAGCGAGCTTCTCGCTGTTGCGAGCTTAAGAGCGAGGAAGAATTAATTTTTATTAATTCTTTATTTTCTTGATTTTTGATTTATCTTGAACCGGTGTCAACTGACTTCTCATTGGATCAAATCATATTAGTGGTTTGTTTTTCTAGTGTGAAACAACCTGAAACAACAATAAAAATTAGAATCTTATCTATTTGTTGGCATTTTAATATTCTTTAAGATTTTATTAATTAACACCATATTTTTAATCACGTTAATTATTATTTGAACTATTTTTAACATTAAAAACATAGTGTCTTTGACACTTATCAAATACTATCACTTCTTAAAAAATAATTAAGGCTGCAAAACCCAACGAACAAGGAAACTCCCTCCTTCCGTTGGATACTCTTTGTTAAAAAACAAATAATAATAAGGGATACGGGAATATCGATGGGAGCCTACTCCCCTTAAAGAGATAATTAGGGTATGTTTCCAAAAAATAAAAAAATAAAAATTGCATGTTGGAGCTCCCTCATTTCGTTAGATCCTAGGGTGACAAAACGTGTCAGAAGGTTATTTCGTGTTGTGTCAAGTTGTCCATGGGTTTTATTATAACTGTCTCTAAATGTAGCAGTAGAGGCAATTTTACTATAACTGCCTCTATATGTTCAATGGAGGCGGTTATATTAACTACCTCTAATATACATTTAGCCCCCCCAAAAGCATATTAGAGGCAGTTAAAATAACTGCCCCTATTGAGCATTTAATGGAGGACAGAGGCTTGCTCACACAGTATCGAGCAATGATATTCAAAGAGGGAGATCTTTTTTGTTCAGCAGTTGGATTATTCACAAATTTGCTCATTGTATTCTTCTCTTATAATACTTTAAGTTGACTATTCAGATTTTTAAATTGAATCATCTGGTGTTAAATATAAATTTTGGATATTTGAAAAAAAAAATCTCACCTTCACTTTGAAGTCCCACATTGGATTGTTAGAGAATAATATAAACCATTAAAAATACCCTTACCCAACGCCTTAAGGTTTTGGGTTGAGATGTGGTGTCGGACCCACTTGGTGTATCGGATCCACTTAGCTCATTGGTGGTGGCCCCTTGCCTATTGAGATATTCAAGTGTGACGAGTCTCACATTGGTTGGTAATGGGCTAAGTGAAGAGTATATAAATGGAAGGACCCATGAACCCAATGTCTTAAGCTTTTGGGTGAATTGGTTCGTTACATGTATGATCCTTGTTCCTCCTTCTCCATTTTCTTTCAAGAGCAATTTTTACTTATGGCCAATTGTATGTTGCTCTCTAGGGTTAAAAGTAAGGAGGGATTAAAACTTCTCATACCTAACGATCATGACACAATTGCTAATACTACAACAAACATTGTGTGCAAATTTTTTTCTCCAAAAGTTGAAATAAGTTAATTTGTGTTATTTGTTGAACTATTTTACATTAATCTTCAGAGTTTGCTATTTCACTATAATACGTAATGTAAATGTAATTTTACTATTCATTTAATTCTATTTTATACTTTTTACTTACCATCGTACGTACGGGTTATACTGATACATGTTGCGACTTCGACAAATGCATTGGTCGTAAAAGTAATAAAAGAGTATTGAGTACAAGATCATTCCTACGAGGATTGGTTTTCAAGCACTAGTTCACTAACAACAATTTAGTTGGACAATCAAATTTGAGATGAAAAGAAAGAAAATCAAGAACAAGCAAGAATATGCAATTCCAAAATTTAAAGCAAGCAAAGAAAAAACAATTGGTTTTGAAAATAAAAGAAATCGTAGTTAAGGTTTCGATTTCCCCCAACATTCTTCTTATGTTATGGATTAAACAATCAAATAACCGCCCTTAATATAATGCGAATCGATTTCTCTAAAGTAATTAAGGTTTAATCCCTTGTTACCTTAATTCTATGTAATCTTGAAAAAATTCTAGTTCCCCAAGAAAAAATGCATTAACAACAAGAATCTAAAATTGCATAATTACCCTATGTCTATCCCTAGATCACAAGGATTATGATGAATTTATCAAATTAGGGTTCATGCACCAACATCTCTATTGTCATACAATTCTCGTAAATCAATCTAAAAGGAGAAAACTCGTAGAAAGCATAAAAATAGATAAATTCATTCAATTATAAAAAAAAAATTACAGATATAATTTAATCTATAAACATAATAATTCAATTGGCCGTTCCATCTACCCTTAACTATAGAAAAATCTAGCCAAACATAGCGAAATCAAAGACAAGAGAAAGTAAAGAAAATCCCCCAAACTCCATTGGTGTGATGGCATGAAAAATCGTCACAAACCCCAGCTTGTTCTTGAATTCAAACCGCTCCCGATGCTCCAAAGCATGAAAGACGCGTTTCTATCTCCAAAGTAGGATTTAATCTTCCCAATTGTTCAAAAACTCTTTCTCTTTCTTTCTGAATGTGCCATCTTTTTATAGTGATTAAACCATATCTTTTAATTTTCTATAAGGTCTTCAATGGAGTCTTTACTATAATCTCCAATCATATCTTTAATCAAATCTTTAAAATCTTCTCTTTTATATTTAAAGAAAATAATTTTCTTAAAAATATTCAAGAGAATCTTCAATAAGATTTTCAATCAATTATATGATTCAAAAATTCAAAACAAACCCACTTGAGCTCTCTAATTTATCTTTTTAGTGTGTTGAAAATTACTGTAAAATATAAGAATTTTTATGAGAATATTATTGAAAATAAAATAACACTTTAATTATAATTATCAGACTTTTAATTATTTCTAAATTAATTTTATGCTCATATTAATTTATTTAAAATCAAATTTGGGTTTTCCTGTGTTTGAAAGTATAAAAGCTATATAAATAATGAGAAATATGTCTCTCGCATGAGACAAAATTATGTCATGCACACACAAAAAATCGGTGGAACCCACTATTTTCTTTTCTCTCATTTTTTTCTTAATGAGTTCCATCCATTTTTGTGTGTGTTGCATTAAATAAAAATATCTCATGCAACATAAAGATTCATATTTCGCACAAATAATTTGTAAAACTGATGTGATTAATAATATGCATTTTAGTAAAATAATATAAATATATTAAATACATTCTTGCTTTATGTTTTATGAAATTTGTTTTTATCAAAATCTAATTAGTAAAAAAGAATCTTAAATGTGTAAAATTGCTCTTGGCATAAATAGTTTGATACACCTGTTTTATCAAATTAATATGTGAATAGACTGATATAAAGTTCAGAATTAAATTCTCCTTTCACAAGAGGGAATTGTTTTGGGCCCTTGTTAATTGTTATGGAACTAAATCAGTCCAAGTAAATATTTATCA